TGCGCTTTTCCTGTTTTAGACTTGTTGCATAGGATTGAAATCGCTATTCTGGATCTGCTGTAGTTCCATATAAACTTAACGTTGTTTTCCTAGTCTTTGAGGAATAGCTGTTTTTATTCTGATTGATACTGAATTAAATCTGTATATCTGCTTTAAGCATAAAACTTTTCACAATATTGATTTTGAGTCTCCAGAAACAGAAAATAATATTTTTATTCTCAGATGTTGCAAAGTGCTATTTGAATTCCTGTTCCAGACTACCTAGTTTTCATCATGCAGACTTTTCACTTACTCAGTTATGGTCTTTTCTAAGCATTTAATTTTCCGTGAAAGCATAAAAATATCATCATTTTCCCCATTTCTTTCTCAGGCGTTCTTAATTGGGGTACAGATATTTGTTAATGCTGATTGCTGCTTAGTGTAAGTAGCTGTGGAGGAAGCCGTGCGCCACCTAGTGAGAACACGGGGCAGTACAAGCAAAAGCGTCACACAGGAAAGGTGATGTTCTGAGCCAATTTCCAGCAAAATTAACTCCCAGCCAATGAGTGGCTCATCTTGAAAGCCACCAGTGAAGTCTTGCTATGACTGTGCCTACAATCCAAAGAAAATCTTGAGCCAGCTCCAACCATTCTGAAACCAACTTGAAGCATTTTGTATTTTTCACTCACAGAAATCCTGTGAGAGAATAAAATTGTGCTTTACGCTGCTACATTTGCAGTAATAATTTTGACAAAAATAAAAAGGGAACGAATACATGGAATAAGTGAAAGTCAAGTGTGGGCAAACATGTGGAAGCCTTTGGGTTTTATAAAACTACTACAATATTTTACCAATATAATTTGACATGAAATATATGAACATAAAACTACATAAGTCAGGAAGAATGGCGACCAAGCATTGAAAAGTCCTTGAGTTATCATAAAGGCATAAAAATATTAATATTTAAGTCTTTTTAACTAAAATAATGAGAATGATTTTACTTTTTTTTTCTTTTAATTTTCAGTTGGTTACACAGATTTTTAAGAATACCATTACTGTGGTAAAATTAAAGCACAATCATCCAGATTTTTCTGGTCCCATTCTTCTCTGCAGCACTTGTAGGGAGCATGCACCCAGTGGTACACACAAAATTGGGTGGAAGATGCATCACTTCCGGGTGAGAATGACTGTATGCAGCAGAGCACATGCCTGGCTCTGGTAGTGAATACATATGTAGAGAACAGTGTTTGCATAAGATATTTCAGTTATGGGCAGTGAGATACAAGCTCATCATATATTACAGGCCATCCTGTGAGATATACATGCAGGAAAGAAAACCAAATTGAGAGCAGTGATTTAATGACTTTGTTTTGTTTTGTCACACAGTTAAATGTAAAAGTCAATAAATACATAATTAAAAATAAGACATTTCCAAAGGTGATTAGTGATAGTCGAATTTGTTTGCAGGTGCACCCCATCATCTTGCAGGCATTTTGTAGGAAAACAGAGCAGAAAACTACATCACTGGGAAAATGAAAACTCTCCAAGATTGTATCCATCTGTTCATATGATTTTTTAAAAATTGTATTTAAAAGGAAAAAGAGAAAAAACAAAACAAAACAAAGCAGTGCAAGGGTACAAGTAATACAGAACTACAAAAAAAGTAAGAAATCACCAGTTAATAGATTACACATTATCATCTTAGAGAAAGTTGCTCAAGTCACAGTATCAAAGCATACAAGGTGAACATTCAAACAGAGAGACTGCAAACAGTTGTGTTCAATGATCCAACCAAAAACATTAATATGGTCAGCTATTTAACACCCCTAAACACACTTGCAGTTGTATCCTTTAGAGCACTTTTTTCCCTCTCTTTTTTCAACAAAATGTACACATTTTAGGTTTTATTACTCCTTAGTTCTTACTACTTTTTTTTGGAAGAGAATAAAGTAAAATATGGCAAAACAAAGCTGTCAGTCAAAAGCAAGGATAGACATAGTACATGATGTAAAAACAGAGTACAAGGTTATCAACAATGGTTACCATAATGCCTCTTGCTTCCTTAAAAAAAATAATTGTCTATCTCATTAGGTTTTATAAAGTTGAACAAAACAGTAGAGAACAAGACCAATAAAACTTAGACATTGTAAACATTACAGGACTTCCAAAGGAGATAATAGTCAAACCAGAATGGGCATCTTAGTGAATCTTATTGCTTTCAAAGTAGTTGCCTATACCCTCAAACTTGATACTATCATACAGAATGGAACAGAGTCTAATCAGTCAAAACAAGATAGTGGGAGTATTACAGGACTTCAAAACAAGTTAATAGGAAATCAAAAAAAGTTACTATAATATATCCTGCTAATTTTTTAAAAAATTTCCCCTTAATTAAAAAAAGCATAAAAAATAACTAAATAATTTTTTAATGAATAAGGGAGAGATTGAGATAAAAGAGGACATAACAACATAACAATATGGGTCAAAGTATGACTGTTTCAGCATATGATTTTTGGTGATCACACTAGCTTCCTGATGTTTCCAGGAAGACCCTCTCATCTAACTTTCTCTTTTCAATGAGGTAAGAAGTAACTGTCAAGTCATACTTCATTTATCACACCCATGAGAGGAGAAAATGGAAGCCAGAACATTGATGACTTCATGAGGTCACCTAGTTCTTGGCAGAGATGAGTTTACATCACATTTATCAACTGTTAATTTTCTCTTTCATGTTACCTCAAATTTATTCAGTTTAAAGTGAAGACAAAAAAAACCCCTATATAAACGTAGATTTACTTGTAAAACTATATAAATGTAAACTATTTACTCACAGAAATTGCACCTGGAATTAAGCCTTCTCTCTCCCAATGTTGTCTGTGAAATTTAAAGCTTCTCTTACAAACCTAATTGTAATTGTAACATATTTCTGCATGACACATTCAGATAAAAGTTTACCACAATATTTCTGAACAATGCATTCATGTAAAATGGACATGCTGGGAAGATTTCCTTGAAGCTACCTTTCTTCATATTGCCCCCTATTGCATCACGTAGAAGTGATAGCGTATTTTCTCATCTGAATTTGATAGAAGCAGTAAAGAAAACGTCTTCAGTTTGCAGCAAAACCAGAGTCTCAGGCCAACTCAATAGCTACCACTAGCAATGCTTAATTATACACAGTATAGGTCCCAGGTCCCAAACATGTCAAAGGTGTACAGCTAGTCTAGTTTAGGATACTGGCCAAAGGCAAATTTACCTACTGCTAAGCCAAGTGCCTCTGGTACCTTTGTAAAAGTTATAGGCTACAATCTCCCCGGGAACCCATATTAAATTATGTAATAAAATATTTAATCATGCTGTTTGAATAGGAGGTTTTAAATTTTAAAGGAAGGAATCCTCTAGAGGAATTATGGGACTATGGTACACTCTTTTTAATGTCTCAGTTATGACATGAGCAAGGCTTGCTCAGCCACACACTCCCTTGCATGATGGGCTGCCTCTCCAAAACTAAACAAGGAAGCCAACAGCCAGGGACTGAAACCTCCACAATTGTAAATTGAGAAAGAGACAGAGACAGAGAGAGAGAGAGAGAGAGAGAGAGAGAGAGAGAGAGAGAGAGAGAGAGGGAGAGAGAGAGAGAGAGAGAGAGAGAGAGAGAGAGAGAGAGAGAGAGAGAGAATGCATTGTTCCCAATGTTGGGGGAAGTGTCCGAGAGATGAAATGGTGCTGGCTCTGAGTTTAGAGGAAAAAGGCTAAGAATCAAGGGATGCAGAGACCTCAAGCAGCAAAAAAGGCAAAAGAAAGACTTTCTCTCAGAGGCATTAGAGCATCTGGATGATTCCTCACTGAATCTGGACTACAGAATGATAGCTTTTCTTATTTTAATGAATTTTATCAGTAACTGTTGCCAGGAATAACCACCACATTCATCATAGGCAATCTGCACCAGTACATAGTGTATCATAATGCTTACCCTTTTTTCGCCGTTCCCTTCCACTGAATACTTCCTCTCTCCATTTACAGAACGTTGTTTCTATTGCTTTCCTTCCATTATTTGTATATTTTTATCCCTATGCCCCTTCCCTTGTTCATTTTTCCTATTGAACATTTTCTTCCTCTTCCTTCAAATATATCCTGCATCTTGATCTTTATTTAGATTTTGAGTTTCTCATCTAAGAAAAACAATGCAACATGTAAACATGTTCAATCTCATATAAAATAATTTCACAAGATGCACCAATTTACCCAAAATATCTCAAATTTATCCTCCTTTATGGCAGAGCAGTACTCCATTGAATATAAAAACCATATTTTCTTTATGTTTTAATCTGCAAAAAAGTATATGTGCTGTTTCCAAGTTTTAACTATCACAATGTGAACCCCATGCACAGGAATACATAGATTGCTGTGACTGAATCCAAAAATGAGCATATGAAATATAAACAGCAAATAAGTATATGAAAAAGTGTCCAACATCACTGACCATTTAAGAAATGCAAATTCAGATAACACAAGGTTTCATCTCAATCCAGAAGAAAGCTATTGTCACAAAATCAACCAATGACAAATGCTGGTGAGGCTACAGGGAAATGAACATTTTTCCACTATTGGCAGGAGTTTAAATTGGTATCACCATGCTGGAAATCAGTATGGACATTCTTTAAAAAATTTAGAATTAGATGTTCCCTTTGACATCTAGATATCATATCAAAAGATGTAAAAGCTGGGGATTTAGTTCAGCTGCATAAGTGTCTGACTTGCAAGTGAGCGATCGTGAGTCCCATCCCAGGGACCTATAAAAAAATTTTTTTTAAATGAAGAATTTCCTATTGTAAAGCATTTGAGCTTGAAGTAAATGAAACCATAAAAACCAGGAACCTAATACAAAATCATTTACTACATTTCACACATGAATTTCTCATACCAAAACAATCAAGAAAAAAGAAATGACTTTAATTTGTACTAAGTTCTGCAAAATATCTCATGCATACTCCAGAGCATGGTTTTCAGGCAGCTGGAGGAAGTGTTGAAGTCTTGGGCTGCGCAGTGAGCAAGCAGCTGGAGGGATTCTGAGAGGAAGTTTATGTTTGGGGCTGAATCACTGTGGGAGAACTATAATGCTGCAGGCAGTAATAATCTGCCACATCTTCAGGCTGCAGGCTGCTGATGGTGAGAGTGAAATCTGTGCCAGACCCACTGCCGCTGAACAGTTCTGGGATCCCAGTTTCTCGGGTGGATGCCAAGTAGATGAGCAGTTTGGGAGTTTGCCCTAGTTTCTGCTGGTACCAGGATAAGTAGTTCTTGTTGTTACCACTGTATAGAAGGCTCTGGCTAGACTTGCAGTGGATGGTAGCACTTTCTCCAGGAGACACTGCCAGGGAGGCTGGAGACTGGGTCATCACAATGTCACTGCAGACACCTGCAATCAGGAATAAATGGTGATCATACAGGCATAAACATAAAAGACTTTTCTCATATAAATATTGCAATTAAACATTTAACATATTCAAAGCTATTCTGCAGTAACACACATTTATGTTTTTATTAGAAAGAGTCATTGTTTTCCACTTCTTAAAGTTACTTTTGAACTCTACAAAGACAACACTCTATAGAGATGGTGAAACTCTGGAATTTCTCACCAGAGATCCAGAGAAATACAGCCAGGAGGATTGGGATCTGGGAAACCATCTTGCTGTTCCTTCTGTTGTGATGTAGTTCAGACCCTACTGAGAAGTCTTCTCTTATAGCATCTGTGCAGCTGCACTGAAATGGGAGAGACCTATGCAAAGGAATCAGCAAATGAGGAAGCAAATTGCAACGGTACTGGGCTATGAAAGAAACTGATTAAATCAAAAACCAAAAATACCATCACAGAAAATGTGTTTGTGTGACCAGAAAAAAAAAGTCAATTTAGAAGCTCTAGTATTGTGCATTCACTAGATGGCATGACAAAAGGACTTAGTTTCAAGTAAAAAAAAACATGTATTTAAATGGGTTTAGTTTTGCAAAATCACAGGCTAGCTGCCTTATATTAAAAAATCTTTTGAAATATTACAAGCCCACTAGAAAAAAAAAAGACCAAAAACACAGCAGAGAGAAATAGGAACAAGTGGAGAAAGAGTTAAGAGAGAAAAGGGATGAAGAAAAGAAAGGGAAACACAAGAAGATGCCATTTTCTAGGGCAACTTCATTACTCTCTTTGAAAAACGTTTGTCCAAAATCCAAAGCCATTTTTCCCCTGAAGCTACTGAATAACACAGGAAAAACTTGATACTCAATTTTCATCTCATACATAGGTGGACAGCAAAAGATTGGCTGAGGATCCATTCTGTGAATCCTGTGGGATCCACATTGAACTTGAGAATCAGAATTGTGAACCAAAGGGAAACTGCATTCTCTCCTTCCCACAACTAGGAACTAAAAACAAGACTCTACTTAAGCTGAGAAATGGAGAGAGAACTAACAAGTTCTCTCAGGAAATTCATGACCACAGACAAACACTACCAAGAATATTTTCTAAAAACAAAAAAGATGCCTGGTTCACGAATTGTCTATGCTGAAATCAGTGGAAGATAGCCTTACAGATGAGGTACCCAAGTGAAAACCTGTTGCCTGAGTGCAAGACCATCCTCAATTCACAAGAAACTCTATGATTTAATTTTCAAGGGCCAGTAGATCACAAAGTCAGCGCTTTCTGATATCACAAAGAAAAATGTAATTAAAGTTTTAATGCAAAATATTAGAAATGACAGACAACAAAAGTTCTATCCAGATATTAGATTCAGGAATGCTGAAAACACACCTAACAAACAATGTTTTAAACAGATACAGCTTGCAAAATAGTGTAACATAAAAATGCTTGTAAGAGATTGGGCCAGTGTTTATCACTGACATCTCAGGGAATACTATGTCCAATGAATACTGTTAAACTGGTATCAAAATTTTATATTTGTCCAGACCTATTGACAACCAAAAGTGTATTTTAATTTTTTCATTTAATCAGTTTGAATGGACCATTTGTTTTGCTTTGACCAGATACATTTATGCAATATTTTTGGATAAAAACACATTAAATTCATAAACCAAGTTTCATTTACAACTGCTCAGATATTCTAATATGAAAGAGAAAAATATCACATTGTTTAAGGAAGGTCTTCAGATCCAAAGGCAAGAATATAGAGGATGGGTAAATCAGCCTTAATCCAGTGTTAAAAGTTATTATTTTCACTACATCTTTTTTAAATTTATAATTTGACTTTGTAGCTACTTTAATGAGCACAAATCTATTTCATCTCATTTACTATGAATTATTGAATTTAAACAGATAGAGAATAAGACCATAAAACCCCATAAAATCAAATAAACAGGATTACTTCTCAAATGCAGCCTGGGAAAACTAGAAATCCACCTTTTGTTTTATTTTTATTATCAATTAAAGGAAACATGGCAATACTTATTACTTATTCTACCAGAAACTGAATTTCCACAGTGCATACTGAGTGTGTTGAGTGCTTGAGCTGTCAAAACACCAATAAAATTTTTGAACTGAAAGCAACACAGGTTTATCTTTTCCCAGCACTGGGGGCCAGGAGTCTGCAGTGAAAGTCCCTGAGCAGCTCTGACACAGAACCTTTTCCATGGTAAACACCTTGAATGGATGCATGTTGTTGAGACACATGAAACACTGGACTCCTTCTGGCTCTGATAGTGTATGGGATCTCTGCTTGCTCTGTGGACTCAGGACTATGGGTGCCCAAAATCTATGAAAAGAATAAGGTGGTAGAGAAAGAATATTTCTAGATTTTACATCAAAATAAAATGAAAGCTAAATTATCCGTAGTTCTCTTGTGCAGTGCTCTCCAGGCCAATCTTGCCTTCTAAATCTTTTGATGAATCTGATATGGAGAGAAAGAGATTAATATGACAGGCTACTCCCAAGTGTATAAAAATTAATTGCTAGAGATTTTGTGTTCTCTTACCTAGGAAATAATTCTCTTACCTAGGAAATAATTCTCTGTGGATGAAAAAGATAGAACTGTTGCCGCTGCCAAGCAATTTTCACTTGAGTTTCCTTTAGGTGTTAATCACATGTCCAGGAAATATTACACCTGTCGTGTTTCTAACATTGTCTACTGCACTTGGTAAGAACAGATTCCAGAAGTACCTTGCTAGTTCCACACTGTGATATTAAAGGTTCATGACTCAGAAGATCAATCTTAGTGAGGTAGGAGCTCTTTCATTCCCTTCCTAGGCAGGGACGTGTCCTAGCAGTGTGCCCTTTCTGCTCCCACAGACTGACCCTCATATATACCACATGGTCTGGTCTCTGGATTCACCATGAGGGTCAGGGCAGGGTGCACTACATCTTCCCAACAGATTCCACTTTCACAAAGTGGGTTTTAGGCCCAGTACTGCAGAATATGGGGGCTTAGTTCCAATTGGTCTTCCTCTTAACACTGAAAACTTGGTTCACTTAAAAGCCCTCCACCCTGCTCTTACCTCTTTCCACATGTTTACACCCATTTGTAGGTCACCCAGGAAGTGTCTTCCTTTGCCAGTTTGAAACAAAAGTGCTGCACTAACTTTGCTTCCGTGATCAGAATTCTTCAGTTTAAATTCTCAAAATCAGGCTCTCTGCTCATCTCCTGGGATGCTACCACTGTGGCTCACTTGTAAGGACTGAGAGAGATGAAGAAGGAGAATAGGATGAGAGGGTGAGCTCTGGGGATCCACCACTGCTCATATCTGATCTGTCCATGTGTGAGGGGTGCAAGTCTTGTCCTCAAGGTTGAGCATTTGACATTTAGATCTGTGAGAGTGAGAGAGATGCCAGAACATGAAAAGAAGGACCTGAAATCTGGGGAAGACTGTCACATTCAAACTGGGTCTGATATTTGCAAATGATTCTACAGGACCGTTAGTGATTTTTAACCTGGCTCCATTTCAACATTGAATATTTTCAATTATGCATCTTAGTCAAAATGATAAATTAGTTCAAAATAAAAAATGAAAGAGAAAATTATGAAAATGAACTCATGGTTCTCATTCATTATTTTGGGGTACACTAGAAAAAATGAAGTTCTCTACTTCCACACAGTGGTGAAAAAGTCACCAGGTTCTCATCAGGGCCAGAGGCACAATGTTTAGTGAACTCAAGCCTGATTAGCAGGGGTGATGGTGCCTAGCAGGTAATTGAGATTTGATGAGGTCATGAAGAGCAGCAGAATTCAGCAATTTGTGGGTCAAAATGCAGGCCTAGGGAGCAGACTCCAGGGAGAAAATGAGTTCTGGTAAGAGACACAGTTAGTAAAGAGCAGGCACGGTTGGTCACACAAGATCTACTTGCACAAATCAGAAAAATCCCAATTCCAGGGCTTCAGGTATAGCTCAGTGGCAGAGTGCTTCACTAGGATGCAGATGTCCTGGGGTCAGTCTTAAACATACACAGTCAAAACAGAAAAAGAAAAACTCCTGTCTTCATCAACAACGAGAATCTGTGGAAACAGATCTGGGCAGGAGGAGTATTGAGATTTCTCCAACAGGTTCCAAACATAGCAGCCAAGGACAGAAACCAACCATGAGACCTTGTGACCATGACAATGCATCACAGCAACAAGAAATCACTGAATACTTTAAGCAGAGAGTTGATTTGACGTGTTTCTTGTTTGTTTTGGGGGAGAAATATTTTTCTTATCATTACTTTTTGTTTCACATGAGAGATGAGTCATTTCTGTCTTCAAATGGAAAAATCACAGCACTGGGGATGATTTCCTGACTTACATGGGATGGCTAAGATGAGGAACTCAGGATCTCAGCCTGGGTCTGACATGTTCTCCACACCTCCTCCACAGGGAAGAAAAGCTCTGATGACACAATGGCACCATCTACACTTAATGAGATGGTAAGTTTTCTGGTTGCAAATGATAATCTCAGCCCTTACAAGACTAATCAACTCTCAGACAACACCAGAACATTCACAAAAGGCTAACATGAGTCAGCAACTCTAGTGACATTGCCAAGACCTACTTCTAGGAGGCCATGCTTTGTGCCTCTGAATAGAATGTGAACTGTGGCTCCAGCCACACTTCACCATCACCACTTCAAGTTGTCTATACAGTGCTGCCATTTTTCCAAGAAAGAATCATATAAATCCTCTTTGTGAATTTCCTAAAAAAGAATTATACTTGAGAGTATCACTCAACTCAATACTGAGCAGCTCCCGTGTAATCCCACAAGATACAAATGAACTTCAGCATTTGTACTAGGAAAACCATTAGCCAGACAGAAGAAGATGCATTTTTCCCCAGTAAAGAAATGTGTAATTTAATACACTGCTTTCTTTTCATTGGTTTCTGAGAAGTTCAGGAGTAGAGCATGGCACACAACTTTATTTTCTTTCTAGGATGGATTGAGATAATAGTTGTACTTGTGAAAAATGCATTCTCAGCACACACACACACACACACACACACACACACATATATATATATATATACACATATATATGTTTCAACACATGTGTCACTATGTATTCACAACCATTTCCACCTTTTAAAACAGAGGCAATACCCATAGACATTCCCAGGTGCTCTCTGCAGTCTACTTTCTCTCACCACAGAAAAACTTGAGCCATCCTGCTACCTGCACTGTGCTCAAAGCTCTAGATGTTTCAGATGCTCGCACATGTGCTTCCTTTAATGTGCACAGCTCAAATTATTTAAATTGCTGTACTGTTTATTTTTGTCAAATGTACATCAGGTTTTATTT